AATCATATCTAAAAAGGGACTTTGTACCTAGAATATATGAAGAAGACTTACAACTCAATAATAAGAAGCCAATGCATTTTAAGCCAGGCATGCTGGTATATGCCTGTAATCCTAGCAGTTTAGGAGGCTGAGGCAGGAGGATTGCCAGCCTCAGCAACTTAGCAAGACCTTGTCACAAAATAAAAACTAAAAAGGGATGGAGATATAGCTCAGTGGTTAGGCACCCCTGGATTCCATTCCTGGTTTTAAAAAAAAAAAAAAAAGACAATCCAATTTTATAAAAGGGCAAAGGATCTGAATCTACACTGCTCTAAAGGTACACCAACAGTCAATAAGCACATGGAAAGATGCTCAATACTGTCAGCCGTCAGGTAAGTGAAAACCAAAACTATTAATGAGAAACCATGTTACACCCACCAGGATAGCTAGGATTAAAAGGCCAGATAATAACACATGCTGGCGAGGATGTACAGAAACAAGAACTCTTGTATATCACTGTGGTCATATAAAATGGTGGTGCTACTTGGTAAAACCGTCTGGCAGTTTCTTAGAAAATTAAAGGAAGCTAGGCACAGTGGCACACACCTGTAATCCTGATTGCTCAGGAGACTGAGGCAGGAGGATCGCAAGTTCAAAGGCAGCCTTAGCAATGGCAAGGCACTTTTAGCAATTCAGTGAGACCCTGTCTCTAAATAAAATACAAAAATAGGGCTGGGGATGTGGCTCACTGGTTGAGAGGCCCTGAGTTCCAATACCTGGGACTAAAAAAAAAAAGCTAAACACAGAACAGCTATATGACCCCAAAACTCCTATGTATATGCTCAAAATAACTGAAAACATATGTTCCCACAAAATATTGTTCATAAAGGTTCACAACAGCATATTCATATTATTCATAATAGCCAATAACTGGAAACTACCCGAAGGTCTGTCAACTAATGAATAGATAAACAAAATATGGTACTGTCATGGTTTGAGTGCTTGTCCCCCAGAATGCATGTGTTGGAAGCTGGACTCCCAATGCACTGGTGTTGGGAGTGAGGCCTAGTGAGAGGTACCGGGGCCACGGGGACAGAGCCCTCACAAACAGATTAATATTGTTACCATGGGAGTGGGTTAGTTCCTGCAAAAGAGGGTGGCTATACAGTGAGTCTGCCCTCGTGCTTTGTCTCTTGCACACACTCACTGGTCCTTTCACCTTCTGCCATGTTATGACACAGAGTGAAGACCCTCACCAGATGCTGCCCTTGGACTTCCCAGAACCAAGAGCTAAAAAACTTCTTTCCTTTATAAATTATCTTGTCTGTAGTATTCTGTTATAACAATCCAAAATGGAACTAAGACACATACCACAGGACAGTATTCACACCTAAAAAAAGAATCAATTACTGACTGACAACATGCTATAGCGCAGGTGAACCTTGAAAACAGGCTAAGTGAAAGAAGCCAGTCACAGAAGGCCACATATTGCATGATGTCATTGATAGGAAATGTGAAGACTAAGCAAATGAGGCTGGGGATGTAGCTCAGTGGTAGAGCGCTGGCTTAGCATATGTGAGGCCTGGGTTCAATTCCCAGCATTGCCAAAAAAAAAAAAAAAAAAAATCTCTAGTGATAGAAAGTAGATTAGCAGTTACCCAGGGCTGGGGAGCCATAGGAGTCCACTGGAGGTGACTTTACTAAAAGGTATAGGTCTCTTTTCAGTGATGAAAATGTTTAAAAAAATTGACTATGTCAATTTTTGCTCACATTGCTCAACAATGTGAATATACTAGAAACCACTGAATTGTATGGCCTGTGGATTGCATCTCAGCAGAGCAGTTAAAAAAAAAAAAAAGCTGGCAAAGCTTAGAAGACAAAGATGAGAGGCAATGACTACTATATTTCATAAAGGACACTGTAATCATAAATCCTGGTGTCACACTGAGGCGGCTGAAGCCGGAGCATGATGGCAGAAGAGCCCCATACTTGGATGAACTCTAAACACAGGCTGTGGATGGAGAGCTATAAAATAGATCAACAATTTGTGTCTTGCTGTCACTACAGGAAGTAAGTATGCTCTCCATTCAGGTCTAAGGGGAAATCACACACTCAGACCGGCCCAGCTTCCAGGGAGCAGGCGATGCCACGGTGAAGTCACTGTTAGAGAAGATTCCTATGGGGGACAGGGTCACATTATGAGAGTGGACCTGGGGAAGGGTGAGGTGGGCAGCATCCTGGGGCTCCAAGCTAAAAAGACTCACGATCTCAAGCCAGCTCATTAACTGGCAGACATCATAAATAGCAACCCTGTGTTGATGGAAATGCACGTCTCATTCATCCTTCAACTTGCAAGAACAAAAAAAGGTTAAAAACAAGCCTTTTTGGGAGTAAAGGACTGTGCATTCCCTATGACCCTGGGATTCTGCAACTAGGCATGTTCAGGTAGTTCCCAGGAGCACCGTCCACTGTTCCCAAGGGCACTACAGTGAAAAATCCGAAACCACACCAGTGTCCACTCCAGAGTACACGTACACTCATTTCCATGAGCCTACAAGGCTCTGGACATTGGTAGGATCCTGGGAGTAGACTTTTTCTCCTTTCTCTCCTCCCTCTGTCCACACCTAGGGACCTGGGGCAGCTGGAGTCAGTGGTGTGGGACCAGCATGTCTGTAGTAATGGTGACCTTGCCTCCTCTGTGTAGTCTCCTCCCTCCATTCTTCCTATTCCCGGCACAGGCTCTAGCTTCAGAGAGTCACTTGGCAGATTCACCTTCCCCAACACCCCATGAGCATCAAGTGAAGGAAAAGCACCAGGCCAGGCACTGTGGCTACCCAGAGAGTCAGACCCAGAAAGTCAGCGGGGGCAGGTGGAGGTAGGCAGGCAGTGTAGGTGGACTGGCACAAAGCAGGGCGGGGGAACATAACACGAGGCACATGCACTGCAGAAGGACAGGAGCAATTGACAAACGTGAGAAAAGGAGGGGCCAAGAGAATTTCCCATTTCTCATTAATCCCAGGATGGATTAGTGAGAACCCTGACGCCTTCAGTTGCTGCCGCTTTTATTCTTTCCATCAGAGGTTGAATTTGCCAATTCACAGTCCTAGGGATCCTTCCTCCCTGCACCTGCAAGGAAATGCTGGTTCACCCTAGTTCAGTGACACAGGAGAGAGTTGTCATTGCCTAGAAGATCAGCAGGCTCAGCAGTGAGTCCTCTGGGAAGCAGATCCAAAGCTGGCTGGCCCTGGCTCACAACCTTGGGCAAATGCATCTGCCCAAGTCTTGGTTTCCTCGCCTCCACAACCGTAATCATCAGCACAACAGGAATAAAGTAAACAGCACCCACCAAAGAGGGCCCTTAAGAAGATTAAACAAGACAGTCTATGCTCAGCACAGTGCTTGACACCAACCAACACTATATAGTTAAAAGCCAAATAAAAATCTTCAGTAAGCTAGGCCTGGGCACCTCCAACTCCCCGACATTTATTAGTTTATAAATCGGTCTCCCTGCTCAATTCCTTGAGGAGAGCAATGTCATCCTTTTCCCCTTTCTGGGCCCACACCCAACCCTGCTCTGCATGCACTGGACATGTTCATGAAGGACTATGAAGACACAGCAAAGGGGACTTCATTAACCTAGGAGATGGCCTCTCAGGTAAGTCATAGGAATCAGGCAGCCACAGCAGTCTGGTTTTCAGGAAGCTACTGAGAGGTGAATCTGACCACAGAAGTTCATAAAATCCCTCCAGCAGGCAGCAGGGTGGGCACCCTCCTTTCCACTCCCCATGTTCATTTTTTGCTTCCCCTGCAAATCAACGGAACGAGGACAGGAAATAACCTGTACTTTTCTCTTCTAGACCTAATAAGCTTGAATTTTAAACTACCAACCTTACACTTTCTCATTTGCTTCTATCTTCATCTGTAATTTGGGCCTCGACCCTGGTTTTAATTAGATGCCCCAGCAAGCTGAGCAAAATCACATGCACTTAGGAAGGGGACATCAAGAGCTATAGGAGACACCAACAGCCATAGGAAAGGCTGTGACTCCAGCTCTGATGTGACCATACTTTGAACACCAAGGAAAAAGTTTATTATGGACTGTACTATGGAACCCTGCAAACTCATATGTTGACATCCCAACCCCCACCCAGTACCTGAGAATGTGCCTGGAAATAGTGTCTTTAAGGAGGTAATGGACTCCAAATGTTGTCCATATGGTAAGCCATAATCTAATAGGACTGCTGTCCTCATAGGAAGAGGCAGTCATGACATGGAGAGTCGGATAAGACAGCAATCTACAAGAGACACCTAGGAAAAACCCAACCCTACCTACACTGTGATCTCAGATTTCAAGCTGCCAGTATTGTAAGAAAATAAATTTTAGCCAGGTGTGGTGGTGCCTGCCTGTAATCCCAGTGGCTCAGGAGGCTGTGGCAAGAGGATTACAAGTTTAAAGCCAGTCTCAGCAATTTAGTGAGGCCCTAAGCAATTTAGTGAGAACTGTCTCTAAATAAAATATTTAAAAAGGGCTGGGGATGTGGCTCAGTGGTTAAGGGCCCCTGGGTTCAATCCCTAGTACCAAAATAAAAAAAAAATAAATTAGGAGGTTGTGGTGGTGCACACCTGTAATCCAAGAGGCTCAGGAGGTTAAGACAGGAGGATCCCGAGTTCAAATCCAGCCTCAGCAACAGTGAATCACTAAGCAACTCAGTAAGACCCTGTCTCTAAATAAAATAGAAAATAGGGATGGGGATGTGGCTCAGTAGCTGAGTGCACCCCAAAATTTAAAATTAATTAGTTAATTAATTAGTTTCAGTCTGTGGCACTTGGTTATGGCAGCCAGAGAAAACTAATACAAAGCCCATTTTCAGAGTCAAGAAAACCAATACTAACCAAGTCATTGGTAGTAGAACACAACGGGAAAATGGGAAGCAGCTTTCCCATGTCTAGGTCAGGAGTGCTACTCAGTTGGACAGAACCTGCAGAATCAACCAAATGTACTTTTCACCCCAAGGTCTTACCACATTTTCTGGCAGCTTGTGTCCAGGGAGATATTTGACATTTTCATGGTCACTATTTATGATGTCTGTCAGTTTTCTCCCATTCACTGTTTCCTCAAAGACCCACATCTTGACTGTGGAGGCAAACTTCTGTAGTTTCTTGACATTATTACCAATTATTTTTGCAACAGCTGAACCCCTACAAAAGAAACCGTGGAGAAATAAAATAAATTCATTGGACAGAAGACACAAAGCGCTCAATCAAAATTCAGAAGACCTGTGTTTTGATTCTGACTCAAGCTCTGAGCTTGTGCAAGATCGGATGTGTATTGGCCACAAGCCACTTGGAACTTAGCTGTTCTCACCTGGAAAGATCACATGGGGATCATCAGGAGAGCCCCAGAATTTGGTACAAGGTCAAACAGTACCACCCCTTGAAACCAGTAAGAACCAAACTATCTTGGATCAGTGTTCACAAGCAGAAGAGAAATACACCTAAAAGCATGAACTTGACACTAGAGGGTTTGTGGAGGAGCCTCCAAGGAAAATAAGGCTATATTTCAAACTCATCAAATAGATTAAAATGTAGCCACTGTGAAATAAACTGTGTTCTCATGAACTGCAACAGGCCCAAGGTAGAACCATAATGGCAAGACAAGAACCTGAGAGGATTCCGGAAAAGGAACAAAGCAAGAGTGCAGGGCCCAGATCCCCAAGCAGTATGCACCCCTCTACCTCCCCTCTCACCCCCACACCCCTCCAGGCATCCAGGCAACCTTCAGCCCACAAGCTCCTTTCTTTCTGCATCTCTGTTCAGCTCTAATGATGGATAGCCTCTGCACAGGACATAGGGAAGTGAAGGAACCTATCTAGTCAACACCAGTTCTTAAGACAGCTGTGGCTGCAGGCAGAGGGGGCCAGGCAGGCAGGCACCTGTGCCCCGCAGCTGGTAGAATCCTATGACCGGGTGGATGGGCGCCTGATTCCAGCTGAGCCAATCAACTCCCACCTGCAGCTTAAGAAAGGGCTTGTTTCTTGGGCAGCCTTCCCAGTGTGAGGAGCAAATGGAAGAAGGTTGTAAAGAGCAATTGGCAAATTCAAGTGTTAGGGCATTTATATTTTTTCTAACAATTATTATGGAATAAGGAGTGATAATTATGGGGAGGGGTTGACAAGCTTAGCTGATGTGGAAGAATATACTGGAGACATTTATCCTTACTTCCCCCATAAGTCTATTATTCTAACTCAGCCCTAATTCATCTCAGCAGAGTGTGTGTGTGTGTGTGTGTGTGTGTGTGTGTGTTGGGCGTGGGGGGTCTGGGGATTGCTGGATCCAGGAGGCACTGTACAACTGAGCCACATCTTCAGCTCTTTGTATTTTTTGTTTGACACAGTCTGTCCTTGAACTTGAGACCCGCCTGCCTCAGCCTTCCAAGTCATGGAAATTCCAGGTATGTGCCACCACCCCCTGGCATCCCAGCATTTTGATCTCTGTGCTTTAAGAAACACAAAAATTCTAGTAATTCTAACAGATTATAATGATTTTCCCTTTCCTGAGACAGATTACATAAACTAAACCACAGGGCCTCAACTTTGGCTACACACTAGAATTACCCAGGAGACTTAAAAATCCTGGGTCCCAGGCCACACCCCAGAGCAGTGAAACTGGCACCTCCAGGATGTGGTTCTCAAACTCCCTGGTGCATCAACATGTATCTGGGGCTGAGAAGCGCTGTTCTGCACAACGATTTAGAACTCCGATGCCCTCTTCCTTCACAAAAGGATGGCTGTAAATGTCAAGGCTAGGCAGTGGTACCTTATTCTATGCTGGCAGGATGGCTCATTAGATAAATACCTGTTAATTCAATTCTCCTCCTGACACTTTGCAGAAAGGAGCCAGGAATCTCTCCACCAGCACTGTCGCCTCCACGCTAATCTTGGAAACTGCTGCTTACTATTCAGGGAGATAATAGCTCAGTGCATGGTGTTCCCTGGCGTCAAGGAACTTCCACAAGATCAAAGAGAACATGTGGGACTGTGAGAACCTGGTGCGCTGCGTGGGTTACCTCTTCTGACGGATGGGAAGGAAAGGCTTCACTTTCCTTATGGGTCAAATAGAGCCATGGGAGTGTTTGGGAGGAAACTGAGTCTACTTCTATGTAATATACACTCTTCTAAAAGTATTTTACTGGGGCTGGAGCTCAGTGGTACAGAACTTACCTAGTGTATGTAAGGCTCTGGGTTCAACGGCCAGGACCACACTTAAAAAAAAAAAAAAAATTCAAAGCTCAGTCCACAAAGGTGGCTTGTGAGTGAATTGCTGTCGGGGGCCGCCATGAACGCCCTTAGCCTTGACTGATGGAGGTGTGGAACTGGCTTCAATGGTGCAAAAGCAAGCTCAGCAAGGAATTACAGCTCTGGGAGTGGGTGTCACCCAATGGGACTGGACTACACCCCCCTGAAGCCCAATCCCTGGCCTCATTTGGATGGAACTTTTGCCACAGTCTGGCTGGGCACAATTCAGGAACCACTTGAACGAACTTTATTTTTAGAACACACGCACCACACAGCTCCTCAGGAAAACCCTCAGAGCCCAACTGCCACCACCGGCTTCCAACAAGCCTCTCCACCTCCCCCACTCCTCCTGCTCTTGAGGAGGATTGGCTGGGTTGTGTGGGCGGAGCCAAAAGAAGTCCCCCAATGAGCAGCTCCGTGGTCTGAAAGGGCAGGGAAACAGCCCAATGAGCATCACCGCAGAGGAGCCAATCAGTTGGCAGCTGGAAGTTTGCTGGGGCTGCTGTGAGCCAATCATCAGCTGGCAGCTGGAAGTTTGCTGGCTGCTGGAAGTTTGCTGGGGCTCCTGTGAGCCAAACATCAGCTGGCAGCTGGAAGTTTGCTGGGGCCCCTTTGGCTGTGGCTCTCAACAAACTTTCTTGAGTATCTTCCCCCCAATAAATTTAGGGTTTCAGGCGTGTTCTCTCTCTCTCTCTCTCTCTCTCTCTCTCTCTCTCTCTCTCTCTCTCTCTCTCTCTCTCTCTCTCTCTCGGCAAATCACCATGACTGGGGTTCCGCAGTCAGGCATGATGGGTCCATCCGTGGGTCATGGGTGTGAGCAGCCAATTCTACACCTGGCCCAGCTCATTCAACGCCCCAAATGACAGGCAGAGCAGGGGACGGTCCCCTCCAGGTCTTTGATTGAATCCAGTGTTTTCCAAAGTGAGAAATGGGAATCATAGCCTACAGGCTGAATGCTACCCAGACACCTGACCCAAATGACACTCACTCACTTGCCTGTATCAAGGCTCCCGGTCCTCCTGGGAGTGCATAGCCTGTCTCAATCTGAGTGCTAGAGATATGCTACCACCTCTCTGGCATGAACCCACCTCTTCCCAACCTCCCTTCTTCACAAAGCCTGAAGAGATCTGGGTCTGAGCCTTGGAAGGTGGTACTATCTGGCACGATACTAGTAACACGTTTGTTTTCATGCTACCAGGGTTTTTTGCTTGCTGTTACCTTCTACTTGCAGTATTCACTACAGTGCCCTAAAGTATTCTTTTAAAGTAAACTTGCAAGAAAGTATATATTAAGCAAATAACATTATGGAAGTTTATTCCAACTGAACCCACTTACTCTGATCTTGCCTCATATCACGTAAGCAGGTGTTGCCCCCAGGTGGGCCTTACCTGGGGAAAGGGTGGAAAAGCCTTGTAGGAAGGCCTCTGGAGCAAAGATCAGTAGCCAGGAAGTAGCAGAACTACAAATGACTCAAGTCTGGGGCTGGGGTTGTGGCTCAGTGGTAGAACACTTGCCTAGTATGTGTGAGGCACTGGGTTCAATTCTCAGCACCGCATATAGACAAAGGTCCATTAATAACTAATAAAAATATTTAAAAAAAAAGACTCAAGTCTGCTTATGGCCAGTCCTGGGTCTTTACACAGAGCCATGAAACCACAGTACCTATGACATCATGAATTACCTCAAGCCCCAACGTATACCCTAACTCATAACTTCTATAATGCTATGCAAATGAAACTTAAAAGCATCTTGCAAAAGTGTGTATTTGATATAAGATTTTATTTCAGCTAGGCATGATAGTGGATGCCTGTCATCCCAGCAATTCAGAAGTCTGAGGCAGACAGATCACAAGATCAAGGCCAGCTTGGAAAAATTTAGTGAGACCCTATCTCAAAATTTTTAAAAAAAAATGGCTGTGGATATAGCTCAGTGGCAGAGGACCCCTGGGTCCAATCCCTAGTGTTGCAAATTAATAAAAAAAAAATCATTTCTTCTTTATCACAATCCACAAAGGAAGTGAACATCTTGCCTATTTTACAGATGAAGAAACTGAGGCTCAGAAAGCAATAATAAATTACCCAAAGTCATGCTGTCTCCCTACAGACTCTGGACTCTGTTTCCAAAGTCCACACTTCCTAATTCATATTTGCCCTGATGTAAAGTAGAGTCATTTATTGATGCAGTCTGGATACCCTGAAGGCTCAGGAATACAAGGGAAGAAAAGCAGACAAGTCTCCGCCCTCAGGGAGCTTGGAGACTGATAAATGGAGATTGATGATGTTCCAGCACAGTGACCAATGTGGCCAAAAGTGGGTGACATGGTGACACTTGTCAGGCCATTCAGAGGAAGCTGGGAGAGAGTGCAGCTAGGGCTGAACTCTGAAGGTGGGCCTCACCTGGGGAGGCCAGAGCAAAGGTTGCAGCAGGAGAAGGCTGGGGCTTATCTTCTGCTGTGACAAACAACAGCAGTTGCTTTCACCTAGAGCCAACTCCTCCAGGGTGGAGGAGAAGGGGGAGGGGCAGAAAGGAAGGAATAGAAGGAGGAGCCATCGGAAGGAGAAAGGGAAGGTTAAGGATCCTAGGAGGGAGGAGGAGTCAGAAGCAGAGGGGGACAGGGAAGGACAGGCAGGAGGAAGGAAACAGAGAGGGAAAGAGCAGGTGGGATTGCAAGAGGAGGGAGAGGGAGGTGAAGGAAAGGGCAAGGAGCTGGTAAGAGGTGAGAAAGGGACAGGGTGGGCAGACACAGCATTGACCAGGCATCCACTAGGGATCACACACTGTTCCAAACACTTCACCCAGCTCTTCTGTTAGCATAGTGGTGAGTACCCCGCCACTTTACCCATCTATCCACATTATCTGTTTCACACCTCACCACCGCTGAGGCAGGTACTGTTATTACTCCCC